GAGACATATACGCTTGCTGTTGTCCATGATCAAGATATTCCTAATAATTGCTTTGTTCACATAAACCGAAATGGAATTTCATTCAAAATGATACACTAAATAAACCTAAACGTCCTTCAGATAAATGTCCTCTCGTGATTGGTTTCACTTTGCAAAACTGATTTTAAAGATTGCTGATATTTTTGTTGAAGAATAGTTATCAACGTGGAGGAATTGAAATCTCGTTGCCATGGACTGAAAATCGTCTTTCTTCTGCTGGCTTTGAACCTATTGTCGTATTAGACTCCCCCCCCCCCTTTTTTACCTCCGCACTGTAGCGTTATGCCCGTCCGATGGAGGCAAGGGCGCCCTCCTCCTCAGAGCGCGGCACGTACCGGAAGGTCCCTGAGCGGCCAGGGACGAGTCCGTTGGTATGGAAGTATACCGTCCCCCAAGAATGTTCGATAATCTCTAGGTCTTCGTTGAGACGACGCCTAATTTGATTGCCCCAAAGCTTAGTGACGTAACCCAGACAGGGATGACTTAAACTTCGTTTGGACACCTGAATTATTTACAACAATCAAATAGGCTGTTTTTTCACAAACACTCCTTCAATCATATACAACCAGAACACCAGTAGAGAGCGCTATTGACGGGGGACCGTTTAATTTAATTATACGTGACTGGACTTTGGCCAGAGCCGTGAAAACCACAGGTAACTGTAGGCATCCAGTGTCAAATCAGGGACTTGAGCAGGTCTATCGGGCTATTGTCAGGGTTGTGCTATACGCAGCTCACGTCATGAGATAGCAATCCACCCTTGTATCAAATGCAAGCTCCTGTCAGGAATTGCACCGCACGACAAATTAGCCCCTCAATGACACACGCACCACTGGGGACTTAGGCACAGTCACGCTAGGCTAGGTGACTTTAACCCTTGCACAGGACTCTTGACCCTTCCCCCAGGATCAGCCCTTGACTCAGGACGATTGATCATCGCTTGCCATGATTTTGGAAAGTATGGGCAAACAATGAGCGAAACGGTGGATGATAGCGCGTTCAGTAAGCATAGCGTGCAACGAACTTATATGCCTGTATTTATTTACATTGAGGTTCCAAATACGTTAGCCTTCTTTGCTCTTCGGTGCTGTTATCTCTTTTATCAGATGTTGCAACAACATTGTTTTGAATCCCTATGAGCGAGATTAAGTAAAAAGAGGATTTTTTTGCGATCGAAAAATGGCTTCATAGAATTTTATAGCTGGAATTATTCAACTGTACGCAAATCCTCTATTCCGAGGGGTGAATTTGCCCATAGTTTTGATTTTAGTCAGGCGCCATGCAGATCACGAAAAACCAATTAATGTTTTGAATAGGACCTGGCGGTCTATGCGTTTATAATGTCTGTGCCTTATACAGCCTTGCGAGCCTGCCGCTGCTGCAACTACGCCTGCGCGCGCGCTACATGTGACCAAGCAGTGACTTTCGCTAACCAAGCAAGGCGGAGCACATGCGCAGTCCTAAATTAACACACAGCTATGCGCGCGTAACATCAACCCTTTTTACTGGGCAGAGCGCCATTTATAACTTTGCTCCGCGCCTAGTGACGAACGCCCTCTGTCACGTCACAGCACACTGCCCTTATACGTATGAACAGGTATCTAGCTATATCCCTGGTAACATTTTTTTTCAGATATTTCTCACAAGCTCCGCTTGGAAAAGGCCTTTGTAAAATATTGGCCAGCATATCAGTTTATCAAAACTGAAAAATTACCTGACGTTAGTAAAAGCGATATATTCTGCCAAAATTTACCCATCACTTCCAAAAATCCAAAATACATGAACAGAGCAATTCGTAGGTCCCATAAGCAGATGAACATTTTCAGAAGTAAACTCTATGGTAGTCTGTCGTTAAAATCCAAAATAAAAACACATAAAAATATGTTACGTCTTCGATTTAATTGTAAATAAACTTCAAGCAATAATGTACTTTTACAAATGATGTTTAAGTTGAATCTCGGATGGCCGACTATAGATATTGTGAATCAGAATAAGGAGTAGAACCACCCGCACTAATCGTGGTGGCCGCAATCTTAAAATTCGTAAAGACGGTGTTGAAATACGCATCTTGTTGATTCTCAATTTTTTTAAACAGAAATAGTAAACTCTTTTCTGTTTAATGTAATTAATCGGTATATATTTAGTTAAAAAAAAGAAAAACTGGTTACTAGAATCGATGCGTAGCCGCCCAGAATTATTTTCCATGAACGCCCGCAAAAATTGTTTATCAAAGTTCATATCATATTTTGAAAATAGTCTGATCATAACAAAATACCTCCCATAATTGTGATTATTTCATTTGAATTTTTGTTATCTAGACGACGTCGTCGCTATGTCAAACCAGTGGGTTTGTGCTGACCATGGTAAGGTGCGCGTGTACCAGCGAGACGCAACGCTAGCCTATGAGTTCCACACCGTACTAGAGAGTGAGGTTGGTAAGACAAAAGTACAGCTCGTGAGTGCAGCCGTTTTGAAGAACGGTAACATCCTAGTAGGGGATAAAAAGAGAATGATGTTGACCGAACACAAACCCGGCGATGGCAAACTCATACACAACAAGCCGGTGAAGATTGCACCCGACTGGTTGGCTGTCATGAGCAACGGCTGGATCGTGATCAGTGATTGGGACCAGGGACTAGTGGGCATAGTGGATGTTTCTGATGGCAACCCTGCGCCAGTTACCACAATCAAACCAACCATCAATGGTCAGCGGGTAAAGTACTGCAATGGTGTGATGAGTACAAACACTGGCATTTTCATTGCAGCAGACACAGGTCTATACACCAGTGGTCATATTCATCAATACGACTGTACAGGTCATTTTGTCTGTTGTGTGGTGAAGGGTCTGTACAACCCCTGTGGAATCACACTCACAGCAGATGGGCAAGAGCTGGCAGTAGCTGACTGGCACTCCGTCAAGATATATCACAAGGTGTGATGTCATCCAGCGTGATGCTGACTGGTAGTCCGTCAAGATATATATTCATATATATATATATATACATACACACAGTACATACTTGTGTTGATGAAATGAATGTTTGTGTAAGTTGACATTAAACATTATGGGAAACAATTGTGCTAGTCTAAGAAAATTTGATGTTTTCTAAGATAAATATGGAGAATCTGTTCTTTTTTATTACTGTGAGCTGAGGAAGGTCTCTGTACAACATTGTGCAAAATACCTGTAGTATGTAGCGTTAAAATTGCTCATCGAATTCATTTCACAAAACACTTGTAACATTGGATCCACTCAATTGACTGCCTAGTATTTCTGCTCAACATAGTCATTATTTTTTTTCTTTGGAGTACCTACTAGAATTTGAGAATACGTTATTCATCATTACATGTATACTTTTTTGAGAGCGCTAAACGAATTTAAAACAAGCATCACACTGGACTAACCCAATTAATCTCTTTTTAGTTTTGCTTTATTTTGTTTCGTAAACTGCACAAAAAAGTGTTGGCAAAGCCAAATTTCCTAGTAATTGAGTGTTCATAATCCCATTGCAAATAACTCAGCGGTCATCCACTTTCCAGTTACAAGTTACTGAACGAAGTGTAATAAGCGCCATTTCTGTCTCAGTGCTCATCCTTTTGAGTGAACGTAGTGACGTTGCATAACATGGGAAATTGATATTTTTTTTCAAGACAGGATAATTAAAAGCCTGTAAACTTCCGTTTGTGAATACAAAACATTGAAGACTCAGATAACGTTTTATGTCAGATTCAAATCATGTGATTTCTTTGGCGAGTAGCAAGTAGGTTTTGAAGACACGTTGTGTACATCTACTGCGTTTATTATACGTCACGTGAAGAACGCTCAACGAATTCAACTCCACAAAACACACATCACTTTGGACCTGCTTATTCAATTCCTTATTAGTATTACTCATCATTCTGCAGTAGTATCTTTTCCTGCGAGAACCATTTAGACTTTAAATGTAGTTATTAAAATATTAAACGTTGTTATACGTTATGCCAGAGCTGCTCATCGAAATCAAACACACAGAATACGGGCGAAGTAATTGGATTAGCTCAATAAATTGCTGTTGAGTTTTGTCTGTCGGCAAATTGTTATACCCACGTTCGTTGCTAAATCCAGTGCAAGTAATGTATCAGTCATCTTGTTTCAAGTTACAAACTATTCAACAAACTGTAGCAAATGTATTTCTCAACATTGATCCTTGGCAAGGGCGTAAATCCGGAGGTGGGTGGCTTATATATGCTGTTGAGTTTTGTCTGTCGGCAAATTGTTATACCCACGTTCGTTGCTAAATCCAGTGCAAGTAATGTATCAGTCATCTCGTTTCAAGTTACAAGCTATTCAACAAACTGTAGCAAATGTATTTCTCAACATTGATCCTTGGCAAGGGCGTAAATCCGGAGGTGGGTGGCTTATATATCCCCGTTTTCAGAGGTTAGGAGATAGACTATTGAATCTTTTTGTAGTGATCCAAAAATTAAAGTGGAGGGTAAAGAATTTTTCAGACGTCCAACGACAAACAATGCAGTGTCACTCAAAAAAGGACAATTAAAAGAGCGATAAATATGTCTTTCTGAATACATTTTACAGATGCACATTAATGTCATGAACATATATAGGCTTCTGAATAGTGTGAGATTGTGTAAGTCGGCTCAAGGGAAATGGTGTCAGTGTTAACGATCTTGTTACAATTTATAAAATGTACACTCTCCCAACCTTAGACTACGGAGCAGTCATCTGGTCTTCTGGCATATCAAGATATCAATCTTAACGTCTTGAGAGGGTATAGAAGCGAGCACTTCGCATTATTGTATACCCAAATTTGCTGTCCTATTGAATTGTTGTGTAAGTTTAATATGCAGGACCTGTCTGTTATACAGCAGGTCACGAAATTTGCTGAATCATTGTAGTGGTTCTCTTCTAGACATCGCCATTTTTTATCATCAACTCGGCAAATGCTCTCAGATTGTGTACTCGGGTATTCCAATCATCTGCAAATACCATACTGCAGAACACAAAGATACCAACAAAGTCCAATTATATACATTTCAAACCTGTTAAATGATAAATTCCAGATTCCCTCATAATTAACCCTAACTCCCTAGGGTGTGTGGGGGATCATGTTGAAATTGGAGGAATCAGGACTGTTAGGGTTAATTCCCCCTTCGGCATTTTTAAACTTACTTATTTATATAACGGTGTATTTTTATCAGTGTTTATTAATGTAATCTATCTATTGTAATTAAATTTATCTTTTAAACTGTCTTGTACTGATTTTTGTAAATCAAACACTTTTAGTCATGTGACTTTTTTTTGATGTTTTATTTCAAATAAACCGCAATGAATAAAGGAATAAAAAAGAGGGTGCCACCGCTGTGATGTCATTTCTAGAAGACACTTTTGTCCAGTTTAGACGTTTACTGCTGAACTTGTGAAACTTTACATAAAAGAAAATTCAGTGTATTATTAGATTCCTGATTCTTGATGTTCTTAATTTCATCAGAGATTACCATTTTGCTTTCTGTGCAAATTTGAATTAGCCTATAAATCGTTGAGGTACAAAAAGCCCCCAAAGTGCATAATGACAATCGATAATTGGGTATAATGGGACACAAACAAGACCTGCATAAAAACTATTATTGCAAATGGCCTTAAGCCATTCATAAATTTGATTACGCAATAATTTAATCTCGTAAGTATGCAGACGAAAAATAGTGCTTTCTCTGCTTGTAAGATTTGTTTTATTCATTGTGCAGGTGTATTTTGTTCAGCTGCTTCCATCACTACCTTGGTTTTGCTCCATGACTAAACTTAAGTATATTGGCTGAGGAGGTATCCCTTACACAGTGTGTATACATAAATGCTCTCTGGTGTAGTCATAAGAGCAGCTTGGGCCACGCCCTTTCACCACCACCACGACCAAAACACAATGCCTCACTTTTTGGAGTTGGGAGAATAAATTGCAATTTCAATAGAGTTTACTCTCACATATAAGCCAAGATGCCACAGAGAAATGAGAGCACGCATCGTTTGAGTGCATCGTTTTTGTGGCACTGTTTTTTGTTATCCAAACAGGCCCTCTTGGGCATGTATGGTCAACATCCTCTTGGCCAATATGGTCTCCCCAAGATTGTTAGATTTAGGTGGTTGTGTTAAACAACGCTAAGTCGAATATTAATGTCTTGATTCATAAATTAATTTCTATCATGGCAGTCTTGAATACCACACGTTTTTATTTTACAACATTTATCTTTGAGCATGGATTTTTTCCCCACGCGGTATTCGATATTGGCAATGTGTTCCCCTTTTTTCATGGTTCCTTCAGAATATATCAGAGTATAATATTTTCATCAGAAATTTTCAGTAGCTGAAATTCTATCCGGCAGGGACATTAATGGAACATTCAATCTTTTACCTCACAATACTCTCTCTCTCTGAGAAATTTGAAGCATTCACGAGTTGTTTTATTTAAAGCCTGTACAGAATCTCTGTGCGGAGTTGCATTCCTTTTTCTCTGGCCGATGTTAAATGGCAACACAAAAATGCAACATACCGAATTCATGCTTTAAAACGAACATCTCCATAGCAAAGTCGTCTTGAAACGTCGATCCACATGTCCGGAGATACCTAACGAACCAGTTTCCGTATGGCTTCCCAAGTTCGGCGATAGTCTTACCTGCACGCCTTTTCCTGAACGTTAACTCGGCACGGTGACGGATTCGCTGACTTGCTGCCCCGAAGCGCCGCTCCAGAGCTTTTTCCAGTTCATCGTACGATTGAGTTTCCTTTGTCAACGAGTAGGCCATCTCCAGTGCTGGTCCCTTCAACGCCAACACTAAGTAGTCTGCACGCTGCTTGTCAGTCCAGGCGTTGATTTCACTAACCCGCTCGAAATGCACCAAATAATCCTCGATGCATGCCGACCGTCATACTCCCGGGCTTTACCCGCGGTGCTGCTGGCCAACAGCATTTGCTGGCCAACGGCACGGGGTCCGCTGGTAGCGGAATCAGTGTGCAGTGCCGTGTGCCTGCTCGCATGACGAGGTTCGCACATGCTAATTGTACACGAAGATCCTCTGCAATTTTACTCCGGCACGTCCGCGAGCTCTGTGATTTCCCTCGGCTGTCAGCCTTCCTATATAACGAGTTTGGCGTCTCCAGAACATAACAGCACTGCACGGGGATCCATGGGTGCCTCGGCAACTGTCCAAAAGTGACCGTTCCAAACGTTCTATTTCCGCAGATATGCTATCGATTACCTCCATGACGTTCCGTCCATCCGGTAGCTTGCCATTTCATCTGTCGAAAGTCTCACTGAAGTCCTCCAAAATACCAGGTCGCTGCCACCATTTGAAGCAAAGCGTAGTGGGGTCTTGTCCTCCTAATCAGCAACACCAAAAAGGGGACACAACTCACAGGACTTACAACGGCAAAACTCCTTTAATTCACTCGAATCGAATCTGGCTCACAGCTTACCGCACCTCGGTCAGACCACAATAACATGTTCACCGTTCCAACTCTACTCTCTACAGAACCTATATCAATGACGAACAATGTTCACTTTTGAAAATAGAAGACAATTTCCGGGGTGTGCGCGCGCGCTGGCTCAGCCAGACAAAGAACTGTGGCGAAACAGGGTAGCTGCGCAGATTTGTGTTTAGTCTGGGTCATTAATAATTCAGGAGCGTCTTAATCATGCATTAAACATGCGTGCGGCAACCAATCAGGTCTGGG